TGCAAGCGATCACAGTGTGGGTGGGAGGCGCGTTTGGGGTGCCATTGAAATGAATGGCACTGCAACGCACCTCCCGCAGCAGAATTTATCAAGCTGAAACCGAAAATTACCTTTTTCCCACCTTTTATCATTTATTTAAAAATAATTGTATTGTAAGCACATGGCACTTGAACAGCTTCAGCCAGGGAATGACTGCTGCCAGTGGCAAGATTGCGCAGACGTCAGCTGAATGTAAATACAGCAAGCAGTGGGCGGGTGCAATAGCCAGCCTGCTATTGGCCATTTCAAATTGCAATAGTCAGTAGCAGGCTGGCTATTGCACCCGCCCACTGCTAGCTGTGCCCTCCTCCCAGCATGGATGAGAGAGCTAGTGGATCCAACCAACTAATCGATAATGAGAATAGTTGAAAACTATTCTCAATATCTATTAATCAATTAGTTGATTGCAGCCCTAGGCATGTGTACATCAGAACTGGACCACGGAGCAATGGAAGAAGGTGGCCTGGTCTGATGGATCATGTTTTCTCTTACATCACATGGATGGCCCAGTGCTTGTTCGTCTCTTACCTGGGAAGAGCTGGCACCAGGCTGCACTATGAGAACAAGGCAAGACAGCGGAGGCAGTATGATGCTTTGGGCAATGTTCTGCTTGGAAACCTTGGGTCATGCCATTCATGTGGATGTTACTTTGACATGTACCACCTATCTAAACATTGTTGCTGACCAAGTACACCTCATCATGGAAACAGCACTCCCTGATGGCAGTGGCCTCTTACAGCAACATAATGCACCCTACCACACTGCAAAAATATTTCAAGAATGGTTTGAGGAATACAACAGTGCTAACTTGACCTTCAAATTTTAGATATCACGGCTTGGTGCCAGATACCACAACATACCTTCAGAGGTCCAGTGGAGTCCATGCCTCGACGGGTAAGGGCCGTTTTGGCAGCACAAGGGGGACCTACTCAGTATGAGGCAGGTGGTTATAATGTTATGGCTGATCGGTGTATAAAGAAAAGAGGGGCCGATTTAGCAAAATAGGTTGCACTTATAACTACAATTTAGATGTTGGGTGGACTGATCCTTTAAATGTGACATCCATGAGTTTTCCCTTACTAGATAAAAGTGGAAATATCTGTTAGAATTGTAAGGGAGACAGTCTTAACTAATAGTGGCAGTGGTAAACCATGCACATCCAGGAACAGTCCAAGCTGGTTTGTCCTGCACTTTAAATCAGAAAGGCAGCAAACAACAGTCTAAGGCTGGGTTCACACCTAGGCGTTTTTCCCCGCTTTCGTACTCGCGGAAAAACGCTCAAACAGGGAAATGTCATTATTTTCAATGTGCATGGTTCCCATCTGGGCGGTTTTCCGCGAGTACGAACGTGCGGGAAACCGCCCTACGCCCAAAGAAGTACATGTACTTCTTTGGGGCGTTTTGGTCGGGCGGTTCCATTGGGATACAGCCAAGTACCCCTCGGAAATGCGCGTTTTTCTTTACCGCGAATCGCGGTAAAAAAAACGCGCGTAAAACGTGCATATTCAATCCGCCTAGGTGTGAACCCAGTCTTTGTACAGCATAGCATAAACAAACATCTGCTCGTGTAAGCCACTTACTAAGATCAGGTCAGTTCCTGACTAACTGGGTTAACAAGGGTTAACCAAAACAAACAGGGAGCACGTGTACCTTTTTAGAGTTCTGTCAGCAGTCAGCCTTTTCACCCAACAGCAGGCTCCCACAGCAAAGAGAGGAAGAGAACCCTGGGCATCAATCAACTCACATATATAAAGGCCTGTGGGCAGCTGAGATTAATTATCAGGTCTGGCTACAATGTAAGATGTGGACCTAGGAATGGAGGCTTTATCTCACCCAAAGTTCGAAAGCACAATGAGGGGAATTTATCAAAACTGGAGCAGACAAAATCTGGAGCAGCTGTGCACGGCAACCAATCAGCTTCTCTCTTTCATTTTCAAATCTTAACTGAACAAACTGAAGAGAGAAGCTGATTGGTTGCCGTGCACAGCTGCTCCAGTTTTGATCAATTCCCCCCAATGCCTGCGATATACCCTGTCCAATGAGCACAATTACAGACAAAGAACCAGAGTGGCTCTATGATTTGTAATTGCAATGACCGATCACTGGAAGGGTTTACTTTGAGAGCCCTCCCCTTTCATTAATTGGGGGATCTTAGAGAAGTAGGCAGCAGAAGATCCAAGGTGCAGGGTTTTTAAGAAGATTCCAGTTATTTAAAAAGTTAACCCTGTGGGGCTACCCCTGCACTGTAGGGGTTAACTGCTAATTTTTCTCTAGGGGCCGGAATACAGAAGCTATACTCATGCGGCGGACAGCACTCACCTTTCTCCCCCTCCACTCTGGATGTGGCATGTTCCACCACGTCCTTCTGGCTAATGCAGGTGAATGGACTGCATTAGACATAATGATGTCAGCACGGCTTAGACCGCCTGAGCCTGGGGGAGAAGAGGTTGCAGTGATCGGTCTAGCAGCCAGGCGAGACAGAGGATCAGGTGAATATATTTCTTTTATTTGAGCCCCTAGATGAAAATGAGCAGTTAACCCTTGCAGTGTGGGGGTAGCTCCACTGCGAGGATAAACTTTTAAAATCTCTAGAGTTCCTCCTCAATCAATTTCATTGTGAGAAAACGTCTTACCTCTTTTACCTTCTCCCTCCATCCTGTACATTAACCCCTTCACTTGCTTCATCCTGCATATCACCCCCTCATCTCCCACTGTATGTGACATGTACATTACCCCTTCACCTCCTCCTCCCTATTTGTATGACCCATGATGCACTTGAATCTAGTGCCCCGTTACCAAGCTCCATGTTTTAATCTCCGTAACACCAGCATGTTTCTTCATTTCCCAAAAACAATTGTGGTGAAAACATTAGACTTCCCTGTGGCATCCGCTTCCATTTGGGGGTATTTGACATTTCCGGGCATTTTATAACAATTTCAGGGAATTTCTTTCAAACGTTTTGGTCTTTTTTCCTTTTATATAGTAAAAAATAAAATACCCAGTGGTTATTAAATTCCACCAAAAGAATACTTGATCTATCTAAGTAAAAATGACACAAAATCATTTGGATACACTATTGCATGACCAAGTCATTGTCAAACTATCACAGCACTGAAAGTTGAAACGTGGGCTGGTATTCTGGTGGGTAATGCCAGCATAGAGCAGACATAGAAGAGCCCAGAGAGCAGACACACAAGAGCCCAGAGAACAGACAGCATAGAGAGTGAAGACAGGAGAAGGTAAACACAGGAACCCCAGGCATAAGCAGCATAGGGGGTGAGGATGTTCCAGACACAGGTAGCATATGGGGTGAAGAGCCCTGGGCAGCATATGGGCGAGGAGCACTGGACAGTATAGGGGGTGAGAAGTTCCAGCACAGGTGGCATGGGGGACGAGGAGCCCTGGACAGCATGGGGGGTGAGAAGCCCTAAGCACAAGTAGCATAGGAGGTGAGGAGCCCTGGACAGGATAGGGGGTGAGGAGCCCTAAGCACAAGTAGCATAGCAGGTGAGGAGCCCTGGACAGGATAGGGGGTGAGGAGCCCTGGACAGGATAGGGGGTGAGGAGCCCTAAGCACAAGTAGCATAGGAGGTGAGGAGCCCTGGACAGGATAGGGGGGTGAGGAGCCCAGGGGCAGCATTGGGGGTGAGGAGTCCCTGGCGTAGGTAGCAGAGGGGGACCATTCCGCATAAAGGGAAGGACAGGAAATGGTAAACAGAGGAGCTACGGGCATAGGCAGCATAGCAGGTGAAAATAAAAGAAGGTAACCACAGGAGCCCAGGGTACAAGCATAGAGGATGATAAGCCTTGGGTATACACAGGCAGCATAGAGGGTGAGAAGCCTCGGGTATACACAGGAGCATGGGGCACAGGCAGCATAGTGGGTGAGAAGCCTCGGGTATACACAGGAGCCCAGGGCACAGGCAGCATAGAGGGTGAGAAGCCTCGGGTATATACAGAAGCCCAGGGCACAGGCAGCATAGAGGGTGAAAAGCCTCGGGTATACACAGGAGCATGGGGCACAGGCAGCATAGAGGATGATAAGCCTCGGGTATACACAGGCAGCATAGAGGGTGAGAACCCTCGGGTATATACAGGAGCCCAGGGCACAGGCAGAATAGGAGGGTGAGAAGCCTCGGGTATACACAAGAGGCCAGGGCACAGGCAGCATAAAGGGTGAGAAGCCTCGGGTATACACAGGAGTCCAGGGCACAGGCAGCATAGAGGGTGAGAAGCCTCGGGTATATACAGAAGCCCAGGGCACAGACAGCATAGAGGGTGAGAAGCCTCGGGTATACACAGGAGCCCAGGGCACAGGCAGCATAGAGGGTGAGAAGCCTCGGGTATACACAGGAGCATGGGGCACAGGCAGCATAGAGTGTGAGAAGCCTCGGGTATACACAGGAGCATGGGGCACAGGCAGCATAGAGGGTGAGACGCCTCGGGTATACACAGGAGCCCAGGGCACAGGCAGCATAGAGGGTGAGAAGCCTCGGGTATACACAGGAGCATGGGGCACAGGCAGCATAGAGGGTGAGAAACCTCGGGTATACGCAGGGGGCCTGAGCACAGGCAGCATAGAGGAGGAGGACAGGAGAAGGTAAACACAGAAGCACCGGGCACAGGCAGTACTGAGGGTGAAGAACACCGGGTACAAGCAGCATAGGGGTTGAAGAGCCGCGGGCATAAAGAGTACATGCTGTGAGGGGCCACGGGCACAGGCAGCAGAGGGGAGTGAGGGGCCCCGGCCACAGACAGCAGTCCCCATGTAAGCAGCACACCACCGCAGGGGATCAGCCTGCATAGTTATGCAATCGGTGGCCGTGCGATAAACACAGCTCCGCATATAAGGCTAATATGGTGTTTACACTGACGAGCTGGCACAAGAGCCCTCTGAGAATACATGCTAAGTGTGCCCCGTGTTTTCCGGTCTAACGGGGTGACTGTGTCGCTCCGGTTACCGTGAACTGGCGGTGGAGGCTGGGGGTCGGAGCTGTCCGGCTCTCCCATGTCCGGTGTCGCTGGGCCACAGAATGCCAGTGGCTGCCGCCGCTCCTCTCCGGGCTCCGGGCTATGGTATGAGGAAAATGGCACAACAGTGAAATGTGGAACTTCCTGTACGGCTGTGCGCACTGTAGGGTGTTACCATGTGTGTGTCAGACTGTAATGTGATCCAGTAGTGTGTGTGCTGCATTGGGTGTGTCGCAGTGTATAGCACCGAGGGTGTGTCACAGCTACACTGTGTTTCTTCACCCTCCGCTGCGGGTGTAAGGGAGACGGGTGACAAGACAGGGGGGTGACATAGGTGACAGAGGTCAGATGTGGCTGGAAGTGGGCTCTGCAGGCTCACCCATAACCAGGCGTCACACGCCTCCTGTGTATTATAGTATAATATTACCTGTATTGTGTAATTTCCTGTATTATAGCATTACCTGTATTATATCATTTCCTGTGTTATACTATTACCTGTATTATAGCATTACCTGTGTTATAACATTACCTGTATTATATACATTACCTGCATTATAACATTATCTGCATTATAGTATTACCTGCGTTATAGTATTATCTGTGTTATAGTATTACCTGTGTTATACTATTACCTGTATTATATAGTTTCCTGTATTATAGCATTACCTGTATTATAGTATTACCTGTGTTATAACATTACCTGTATTATAGCATTACCTGTATTATAGCATTACCTGTGTTATAACATTACCTGTATTATATAATTTCCTGTATTATAGCATTACCTGTGTTATAACATTACCTGTGTTATAATGTTTCCTGTATTATACTATTAATTGTATTATAGTATTACCTGTGTTATATAATTACCTGTATTAAAGTATTACCCGTGTTATATAATTACCTGTATTATAGCATTACCTGTGTTATAACATTACCTGTATTATAGCATTACCTGTGTTATATAATTTCCTTTATTATAGCATTACCTGTGTTATAACATTACCTGCATTATAGTATTACCTGTGATATAACGTTTCCTGTATTATACTATTAACTGTATTATAGTACTACCTGTATTTTAGTATTACCTATATTATAACATTACCTGTATTATAGTATGGTATTACCTGTATTATACTATTACCTGTATCATGGTATTTTCCATATATTTTAGTATAATATTACTAGTATTATACTATTCGGGGTCTATGAAGTACCCCTTCATCAGGCTCATTCTGAGCCTGATGAAGGGGTACTTCTGAGTATATAGTATGGTATGACCTATATTGTAATATTGTATTACTGATATTATATTATGATGTTACCTACATTATAGTATGGAGTCAATCTGGAACAAAAATATGGAAGCGCAGCACTGTGATATGATCAGACCTCTCACTCGTTGGCTGTGTGGGAGCTGGTGTGCATAAACTCTTCAAAAAACCGGGAGAGGAGCCCCGTGTAGCATATTGTACATTATAGTATGGGATTACCAGTGATAGATAGTGTGCCGGCAAGAAATTGGTTTTGTTCTGTTTTCGCTCGGATTTCTCATTATTAGTGCCAGACCCTCAAGGTCTGGTAGGAATATTAGGAGGGACCGCCAAAGTAAAAAAAAAAAAAATGTGTGAAGCACTGGTGATGTC